GCTGGTTTCAGCCCTGGGTTTTACGCTCCCCGTTGATGCAAACGTGGCCACGAGCTCCCCTCGTTTTGGTCTCGGTGCCGGCTCTGCAAACAGCAACTGCGCCTTGTTTACAAAGGCGGCGCTGACATTCTGGTATAAACGGCAGTGTCAATTTGATAAAGTTAATTACTTCTTCTTTGGCACCACGTTTGCGCTGAGGGTTGGATCCATGAGGCTGAGCAGGGGGTTGAACCAGCACAGCCYGGCAGCCGAGCTTGGACAAACATTCGCTCTACGTTCCAGCTGCTTTTCTCCAAAAGACTCAAGATTTATAATTTCTAAGTCATTTCACATCCAAACTCCCTTCCTGCCCTCATTTTTATCCCCTGGGAGCAGGGAGTTCCCGATGCAAGTCCCAAATCTGGGATGCAGAGCTGGGTGCCCCATGTTAATGTTTATGCCTCGGCTCTCCTTGACGGTGCCATCGAGTAACAAACCGCTGCTTAAATAATCCAGCCATTTAATCATGCAGAAGTGTGTAGAAATAAGAGGATTAGGCTTCTCGCTGAGAGAATTGTATTTGATGGACTCTAGGTTTTTCCCCTAATAAAACAAAAGCAGTTCGTGGTATTTTAGAAATAAACCCAAGAGCCCAAAGCTCCAGAATAATCAGACTGTTGGAGTGGGGAGATGGGGCTTTTTCCAAGCGGCCTGAAACGTGGCATTCTTGTCCAGAATTTAGAGAGATTTAAAGCTAGGCACAAATCAAACAATTTCAAAAATAATAATAATAATAAATAAAGAAATTCCAAGAACACCCTTTTTATTCATCTTTTTATAGGCTCTCCACTCCCAAAGCTGAACATATTCACAGACAATATAATCTTAGCATGCGAGYGGGCTATTTTTATCAGGAGCCAAACACAAGTTGCACAAGGAGGGCGGCTGGGGCTGTTTGCTTGTCAAGCTCTGCCTTGCTCCCCAGCAGGGATAAAGGYCCATCCTTTGGCCAGGGATACTGCTGCAAGCACCAAACCTTTTCCCAAGGAGCTACCCTCACCCCTGGGATAAATCCCTGCCACTCACCACTGTCCTGCTCCCTCAACACACACACTGCCATTTGCAAGCAGGTCAAGTGCCACYGAAACACCAGCTTTGCGAGGATGTCGGAGCAGAGGGTGATTCCTAGTTCCAACAACCTGCTCTTGGCCTTACCTTTGATGCCACTCCTGCAAGCGGCTCCCACCAAGCACAGGAAGGGCTGGAAAACGGTGGGAGCAGATTGAGGCCAGGACGAGGGCCGGACTCCTGCACTCTCATGGCACTGTGACCTGTTTAGAGCCTGCACCTTCCTGCAGCCCCAGGTAGCCACAGGAGCACCCTGCACGACTCCACATCGTTTTCCACATTGTTTTCTACTTTTCTTTGCAAAGCTGCAAAAAACAGGACCAAAAAAATCCAAGGAACACAAGCGACAGAGGCCAGAGCCGCCATCTCCCACCAATGGGAAACCGCTATTTGGGAGCCAGGGGGAAGGAAGAACGGGAAAACTACAGCCTGCAGCCCCATAAGGAAATAATTTATTACCATGCAAGGTGAAGAAGGTGGCACAGGTGCTGAACTCGCAGGGTTGTTGTCAGTAATGCTAAAGAATTAACTATGAGCAAACGGAATGGGACTGGTCTCCTGCTGCTCGCCCCGGAGCATCCTTCGCACGCCAGGTCTGCTCTGGTGCTGGCGAGACGAAGCAGACTTGAAGTGCTGAAATTTCCTGCTGGCTTCTAGCTGTACGAGCCAGAAATCACAGATACAAGGCTTGGAACAAAAGCACTGATATTTTTCGGCAGCAGGCTACAGGGCTTTGCAAAAGGGAGCGGAGCGTCTCACCGGGATACGGTGGATTCCTGCTGCTCCAAGGCTTGGCAGGGATCAAGGGGCTGTGCAGGTGCCTCGCAGGAGATGCTGCTCAACAGAGCAGTTGCAGGTTTTCCTGTTTAAACTCAAAAATCTGATCATATCAGGTATCAGAGATTTGCACACTGTTGGCCAATTGGTTTCCAGGAACAGAGAATATTTTTTTGGAAATAGGTTAACTGCAGTAAGTGCATAACTCAAGGGAAACAAAGGCAGGCACATAGGCCCAGAGAAACTAAAAAAAAAAAAAAAAAAAAAAAAAA